TGCTGAATTATGTAGGAGAGCAGAATTCACACTTCTATTTATTGAGGGCTGCTCTGATCATAATTATTACTGGGAATGAGGACAGAAAAGAACAAACTGCTCCCTGAAGGATTTGTCTGTCAGAAAGCGGGCAGAGAAATTTGAGCTAAATGAATAAAGAGGGAAGAGTGGGGAGAGGGAGCGGAAGAGGGGAGGGAATTAAAAAAGCACCATCCTCTCCCCAGATAAAAAGTAGTACCTCAGAAGGCTCCTCATGAGACAAGGTAGAAAGGAGCAGTGAAATACTTTTATACTTTATTTTTTTGTTTGTTTTTGGTTTTGTTTTTGTTTTTGTTCTGTCAGCTACAGGTTCCTGGCTTGAAATATTTACTCTGTGATCTTCATGGTAGAATCCCAGAACTGGTGGACAGCACAGTGAGAAGACAAATTGTTAATAAGGTTCAATGTTAATAACCCCTGCTCTAACACTAACAATTTCCTAATTCATTCTTATGAAGCCTGTGAAAGACACAGAGCAGCTGAGTGTTATTGTTGGGTTCAGAGTATGCTGAACTCCAAAGGACTACATGCTTTCCAATTCAGGAAGACTACCTCTGACACAAAGAGAGCCCACTTTTCTACCTGCAGCATACACCTAGGGGTATATAGGGTGGTGAAACACTGGAACAAGCTCTCAGAGACATGGTGGAGGCCCCATCCCTGGGGACATTCAAGGTCAGGCTTGATGGGGCTCTGAGCAACCTGATCTAGTTGAGGATGTCACTGCTTACTGCAGGGGGGGTTGGAATAGATGGCCTCTTGAGGTCCCTTCCAAGTCAAAGCATTCTATGACTCTGTGATTCTGCTGCTAGGACACATTTGCACAGCTAAAGGAAGTGTTATGTGACAAGCAAGTAAATACAAAATACATTGAAGTTATGAAAGAATAAATTTATAGGGAAATAATTTTCAATTTTCAAAAGAAATTCTATTTTTTATTTTAAAATATGTAAGACAAAGTTAATAGAACATTCTAAGAGTCAATGTGATCAATGGAATGAGGATAAGACTGAAAAGAGTAGGTGTAATTTAAAAGATATCAAGATATCTGAGAGTGAGAAACAAAATGGCCACCTTTTTAAAGAGAAAAAGACACGGTGCAGCAAGTAAGTTATTTCAGTGGATAAATGTCTAGCTTTGAAATTGAAGACAAAGGTTAGTAGCAAGGGAAACACTTCATGGTGGAGAGTGATAGATTTGCAAGGTGGATATCATCTCTATCAGATACTGTTTTGCTCTCTTTTCATATATATATATATATATATAATTTCTAAAGGTGAAATGGTTAGCAATCACTTTTGCTGCATGCAGCATGCCTTGTGCAAAGGGGTAAATGTGTAATGTAAGGAAGGAGTCAGAGAACTGACAGGGGGTTTACAGAGTTCAGCATGGAGACATATATGGGAAAAATGGATATGGACAAATGAGAGACCTGAGAGGACATGTCACAGTCACAGCCTGCTCGGACTGCACTGGGTGTAGCTGTACCACATATCAAGAGGCTACAGCAATCAGGTAAAAAAAGAATGCTAACTAGCTGTCTTTTAGCTGAGGGGTAAATGTGCTGTCCCGGTTCTGGCTGTCAAGCCTGAGGCTGTGCTGGAGAGTGTGGTGGCTCTGGTGCTGCCTTTGCACCGATGTTTCCTTCCTACCAGCTCTCAGGTCATGTCTAGACATGCTGCCAGGGAGACACTCTGTACTAGTAGGTCACAAGATGTCTTTAGATATCCATATGATTGGTATCTGCCTCAGATCTACAGGTTTACCCTCTTTTCATTGTTACTGTAGAGAATCAAGAAAGAGTACTCTGAAAGACTAAAGCATGTCAAATAACCTGTGCCCCAAATTCAACAAATTGAGTCTAGCTGAGCTGTTCTATCTGTTAGGAGCAGCATAGCTTGAACCACAAGGTCAGGATGAGTGGTGGTGTTAGCCCCAAAGGATAGGTCTAGTCCTAGATCTGATCTGGAGGTTTGGGTTGTAAACTGGATCTGAAACTGCAGCTGGATCCAAAAGTGTGAGTAGGTCTGTTGTCAGGGCTCGTTCTCTTTTCCAAGTCAGGAATGGCTGTCTCTTAGCAGAGCTTTATTTCTGGACTGTGTGGCTGCTGCTTTCCCTCCTGACATCCAATCTTTTATGATCTGCCCAGCAGATGTCCCCTGGCCACTGTGGGATGAAAGCAAGTGGATAGCAGAGGCTTTTTCCTTTCTCTGCGTTGATTACTCTCAGTAAATAACAAGTTTGAACCAGTCACTTAGAGCTGGAAACAGTCAATACCTAATCTTTCTCAGCCTGTGAAAGAGGCATGCTGGGTCACTTGCAGTTCTTTCAGCTCTTTTTGAATTGTCAAAAGAGATGTTACAAGAACTGGTGTTGAACAGTTTTCAAGCACAAATAAATAAAAGATGTTCTGGTGCTACAGCTGTGACCGTTGTTCTACAGCTAGTCATGTGTATGCTAAACTGAGCATAATTTCTATTGAAGTTTCACTACTGCACATGTTAACAGAATGCAATGCTAGCAAAAGCAACAAGACTTCTCATTATGATATTCTGTGTTCATACCTCAAATCCCTGTGGTCTTCCTAGACTTTCTTTAATATGTTTCCATGCAACAAGAATCTCGGATACAGACAAACTCGTAGCTTTGACATCGATGGGAGCAGCCGTGGGTTCTGTATTAAGAAAAATTGAAACAATAAACCTCTGCTGTAACAGCTTGTATTTATCAAAAACACTCCATCTGAAACTGTCATTTACTTCCTTTATTCTACCTTAATACTCACAAGAAGGTATGACACTTTTGGGGAACATGAAAAACTGAACAAGATGAAGAGATTATTATTGTTGTATTTCTCTATTTGTGTCAGTCTGCATCAATATCTCGTCACTGATGACAGCTGCAGCAAATGGACAGAATCTCGTCTACGATTTTTTAAAGAAAACTTCAATATTTTCAAATGGTCCCCCTCCACACACCTTTCCTAGTCCTTGATCAGCCTAACTTTGGCAGTAAATGGAGCATTCATACTCTGTCTGGCTTTTTAGTGCCATTCTGTCAGCTGAGGCTGAGCAATACTAGCTTACTCAGTCAGTCCTGCTTTGGGGTCATATCAGGTAGGAAGTGATATCCAGAGTGGTAATGAAATACTACAGAACATAAATCTTTAGGACCCTTATTAGGTCCTTTAAGTCACAAGCACCAGTGTTTGGGGCATCTTCTTTCTGCTGTGAAGCATTTACTGGTTTATGCCTGGAATGCACTTTTCTAAAGAAGGCATTGAGACCTAGGATTTGTTCCTCTGACTACTTGTGTTGCTACCATTGGCCCTGTGTCTATGTTTCTATCTCCATGCAATTTGTAGGACACTGAAGTCCTGTCCACCTGATTTTCTAGAGCAGAGGACCCTCCCTGCCCTCCAACCAAAGCAACTGTTGTTCAGTGCTGCTGTGGTATGGCCAGAGCACACAGTGGTAGCTTAAGGCTGCAAGATGTTTTACATATCACACCTGCCCAAAACTTGCCACAGGCATGTTTTACTTTGCACTTTCATGCCACTGAACACTTTACAGAGGTCCAAAGTCTTCTAGTGATTTGTATCACCAGTTATTGCTTTGGGAGTGAAGAGTGTCCAAAAACTCACATATCAAACTGAGACAAGAGCTAAGGAAGTCTTTGGACTTGCCTTGTTACCTATATATTACAGAAATTATTTAAGACAAGCTGTGGAGACAAGGCTTGAACATAGTGATGCACACAGCAGTGGCACCTCTCCTCCATTCTGTTGTAGTTCTCTTGCTCAGCAAAAAGATGAATTCACATTCCTCTGCAGTTGCAGAGCCTGAGATTCCTTCCTTGGCCTAATGTTCCTCATTACATTCCTAATGTGTTGATCTGCTTGTAAAGAGCAGGCAAAGGTCTTGGCTTTTATGTTATAGGGAGGCACATCAAAGAGATTTCTAAAAAATGAGGGGTTTTGGTTCATTTAATAGGGTTACAGAAAAGGAGTTTCCTTATGGAACAGCCTGCATTAAAATGATATATTTTTTTTTCATTGATCAAACTGCCTTCTTAAGATGCCTGATACCAGTCTTGACTCATTAGCTACCATCCTTTCTCTGATCATATTGCAGGCCTAGCTCTCACACTGCTGCCCTACACTTTTTCTCTGACATGACTTGTATGAGTTTTTCATCCTTTTTGATGTCAGATTTTTAATGTTTGCAGCTCTTTTTGATCTTCTTTTTTATTTATTTCTGAAGAAAATAACTTCTGATCTGATGCAAAATTGTTTTCCCTAACAATGAGTATTAGTAATAAGTATAAAATATGTATGGAACTTTTCCGGTAACAAAGAATAAAAAAAATATCTCCAGGAATAAGTGGAAAGATCTTCTGAATGCAACACTGAAACAATTGTGTGGTGAAGAAATATATTCCTCATAATATGATTTTCTGTTCAAGTTACACCTTGCTTTCTATTTTGTGTACTACCAGGATTTGTGTGGCAGAAGCTATTTACTAGTTTTTGTATTATTGAGGCAATTACCTTGTTGTCAGAAAAGATTGTAGTGGGATAAATAATTCGAGATGTACACAGAATGTTGGTTGGCAGGCTTTACACTTTCTATAAATGTAGAAATCATTTCCTCTTCATAGCTTTCACTAGGGGTGGTTTATGTATTGCTCAGAATGGAAATACAGAATATTTTCTGATATTTTCTAAAATTGTTTTGAACAAATGAAGTAGAAATAGTTTGGATTTTTTTTTATGGGAAAAAAAAACATTTCTTGTATATCCAGAAATTATTCACTGCAGTTTCACTGATATTAGACATTGAGAATGTAACTGTTCAGCAAAAGAACAGAAATTTTATGTTTAGGAATAAGGTATATTATGACTGTCTGAAAGTTTATGGATACTGAATAAAATTTTATATTGATTCAGATAAGATGAGGACCATATAATTTTTGGTGATATCATACAGTCCATAGTTCACTTCAATGTCATGCTTTATTCTGTGTGTATAAAACTGATGATAAGTTTGACAGCTTCATTAGGTATTTCTGTAATGGTTACTGTTGTTATAATCATGTTCTTTTATTAATATCTTGGCATTATGTTAAACCTATAGGTGTTTGCCTGAGGTTATGCTGCCTGAAAGGTAAAAGGGTCAACATGTTTAATGGCCCCTTTAATATTCCCTGATTGAACTAAAGATGCAGCACGACAAATTCCCAAAAGGTTGTGCGCCATGTCCACAAAACATTGTCTTTCCATGTGCTTCAATAACACTTTAAAGAAAAGTTCAATCTGCAAGTCTTTGGGATGGCTATAATAAAAGAGGACAACAAATTACACTGATTACATTGACCTAATGTTCAGAGAGGGAATCTTAATTTTCATACTGGCAGGTAAGAAGAGTTAGTTACTAGCCCTCATTGTGTTCTCCCTATTTATGTTGGTAAACTGATCTATTTTTCTGAAATACTCATCCTTAAAGGCTTCCACATGGTCTAACTTAAACAAGTCCAAGGACCTATTCAGGTTTATGTTGATTTAACTCTACTGTGGAACAGAGCCTCGGTGAGGACTCTTCATCTGATCACCTAGGATCCATTCACTTCTCACTCCAGAAAGGATTTTTACACACTTCCCTAATTCAGAATCTGAGCTCTAATTTGAAACCAAAACCCTCAGTCTGGGTAATTGCATTATAACTTCAGGCAGTTCCACATAGCTGAGATTTTGGGACTTCAGCCAGAATCCATGACTATGTAATTCCTTTCTGTGGAAAATCTGCCAAAGAGACCTATCAGAAGGAAAATCACAAGGAGTCATCCCTCTCGTGTCAACCTGTAGATAAAGAAAGTGGTACCATTTTATCGCTTTCTGGAAAAAGCCACAGGGACTATCTTCCAAATTAGGGGACCTCCGGTGAACTGTTTCTATTCTGGAGAAAAGCCAAGAGACATTATGCTCAACTCTGCCTCTCAGTCTGTTTGATCTGTGTCCCTGGTCTGAGTACTGCACTAGAGCTATGGTGGTATGACAGCCTGCAGGACAAGACTTTCTCCAGAATCTTATACTAGAAAAGATGTCTGATTTCCAAAACACCAAAAATTACACGACTGATTGTTTCCTGGACAGGCTTTCAGTCTTCCTCACTTTCCCTCAAGTCCTCTCTATTTCAGCTTCTCCCTGAGCAGTATATTTGCAGAGGACTTTAAAACAGAGGAAAATTAGGATGAGGAAGTGAGCTAGCAGTGAAGCAGTCATTAGGTCTACAGTGTTGACCTTTGCCCTGGATGTCTCTTATTTAGTAATGAAACACCCTTATTTGTCAGATAGATACTCTAAATCCTACTGTGTAATTGCTCACAGTGTATATCCTGCTGTGGCTTTCTCTTCTCCATGGAATAACCTGGATTTGTTACACAGTGGAGTGTCACATGGGAATAAGGACCTGTGTTATTCCATGAGGCCTTCACCAGCATCTTACCCACACGTCTTGCTTAGCACACTAGTAGAAGCTGGACAAGCGGAATGATAAAATTCAGGCTTTGTGAGATTAAAAGTTCAAAGGAGTATCCATTTTCATGAATACAAATGGCTCATTTGCACCAAGTGACGTGGCAGCCAGAGTTATCCTCAGAACCAAAGAAGGGGATGTGCCTGTTGAATTGTTTGCACATCTGAATTCCCACGGGAGCTAGTGGCATTAATCAAAATAATGGTTAATAAAATCTTACATGTCAGGATTGTGATATTACTCTTCAAAATATTAGTGGAGACAACTCCAGCTAAATTTTTACAGGATCTAAGTGGATCAGCTGGCAGAAACAGTAAATAATCCATTGTAGTTTATGGCTATATATGCTGATTTATTAATTTTTAGGTTTGCCTAAAGCCCAAGTAGTTCAGTTTTAACTATGAAATGAACCACAGGATTTCACTTCCTGAACATAAGATTTTAAATAAAGACATGGAGGCTGTTTTTAAAAGTATGTAATCCCATATTCTTTCCTGTAAATGAAAAGGAAAGGGTAATTTATTTATTTGTTTAAGCAAGGGCTCAGAGTGAAAAGCAAGGGGAGATGGGACTAACCAGAATAGTCCTTCACTCTGCACTGTCTTGTTTAATATCACCTCATGCTCTAGCTGATGTGACTAGCTGATGTGAAATTTCTTAAAGTTATGAAGGATCAAGATGGCAAAAGCTGTTATATGGCCCTTTGCCTTTCAGCTAACTGAGAGCTTTTGTTTTCCTCTGGCTCAGTGAATTAGTGCAAATCCATATAAAATAAGAACAAAAACCTCTGTGCAGTATCATTACATCTTTGTATGTATCATAGAATTGTATCTGGGGTCCTTTGGAAGGTTTTAAACAGCAAGACTGAGTCTTCAGGCTTTACCTTGTACTGCTCAGGGCTATTTCATATCTAGTTTTTAGTAGTATTCACTACACTGTTTATCAAAATTATAGAACTTTCAATTTTTGTGGAGATAGTTTAATCAGATGCCTGAAGGAGAAGGTAGATACTGAAATTAACAGAATCGATTCTGCATCACCCCTTGTGGCAATCATCAAAAAAGAAGCCTTTATGAAAGACCTAACATCCTGAAAACAGTTGGGTTCCCTCTTTCTCACAGAAGCCTAATTCTATTTCCTTTTATATTCTCACCTATTTCTATAGTACATGTATTCTAATTCTTATTTATTCTTGTTCTGATAGAATATCTCTACTTGTAAATTAATAGGGATAGAGAGACAAAGCACTAGCCTGAGCAATGACATACAGTTGCCCACAGTGTTCAATAGCTAGCATGATCCATGGTGAAGTATTGACTCTGGCCAATTAGTGCTTCCCCAAAATAGGGCCAGGTATACACTGGTGCCTGACCAGGGATGGTTCCCAGGAGCTGCATGAATACAAACACCATCTGGGGAGTGGCAGTGTTCGAGTGTGCAGATGTGAACTCTTTTTGGCCAGTTGACTTCATAGATAAAGAATGGCTGGTTTGTTTCATTTGCTAAAAAAAAAAAAAACCAAACAAACAGATGTGATATCACTGTCCTTTACTTTTATAAGTTCTTCACCATTCCTAATAATTTCCCTGATTTATAGACAGCAATTTAACCAAACCCAGCCATTTTATTTTTTTTAAAGTTGGGCAAAGCAAACAAGCTCACCTAGTTTCCACTTATTTCATGACTATATTTTGTAGATACATCTCTAGATTCTCAGATGTAAACAAGCTGCCTTAGAAATGTACCATTCCTTGCAGTATAAACTTCAGGCAGGTTTTACACCTAGAGACATTCCAAAATACTTTAATTTCTAGCCTCAGCTGTTAATTCCAACTTATTAAATAGTTTCCTACTATTTGATTATGACTTGTTTCACTGTTATTTATTATGATCAGCTTTTATATAGTGTCTAAACTATTCTTTAAAAAAATCAAGACTACAGTACTGTTATTTCTTCTCAGTCAGTACTGGATAATGAATCCACTAATTATTACAGCCAGTTCACTAATCCTATTTAGCATTCAAACTACTCTGAACAGATAAATTCTCTCATAAATAACAGTGTCTTGTAATATTTATGTAAATTCAAAAGGTTTTTCTCAGCATCCAAAATGATAAGGGCAACAAGCAACTGACCTGTAGTTCCACTCCCCATTTTTTCAATTGCCCTTTTCTGAACTGACATGGAATCCAAGAATATTTTGTTTTATCCAAACACTGGCTTTGTATTTCCTGGTATGTTATCATATCATCAGCACATTATGACGTCCAACTGTTTTTACTTTTAGTTTCTCATTTCTATGTAGCTCATATTTTGTCTATTCATGCTTGCTACAGCAAGCCTACTCAGTCATCACTCTTATCACTACAACTTTTTTTAATATTCTTACAATCATACCTTTATACGCTCACATTTCCTTCTCCATTGAAGGATTTCTGACTTCCCCAGTTTTCTTCTTGCAGTGAATGAAAACCTCACACAGACATTGTAAATGATTTCCCTGATGCTGGAAGCTTGTATTCATCTTGGCATTCTTAGTCCCTCAGTATTTAAGTAGAATATAAAGAAGAAAAATCTCAAAAAAATATATAAATGTTTAAACAAACAATGCTTAATACTGCTTTAGTTCATTGTTTTATTTTCAATGTCCTGTGACCTTACAATTTTTATTCTCTATGGATGTAAAACATCAGTGCCCTTACTGAAGTTCAGTGCTTTATTTTGGTATGTTCTAGCATGAATATGATACCATTATTTTCCTAGTAGAAAGTACAGTCAGATTTCTCCCTGCTCTGCTCATGCTCCTTTACTCCTTTTTAGCCTTGTCCGTAGGCCTGCACATTGCAGCCTTTCTTCTGGCAGGCAGTCTAACTTGCTGTGCTCTCCGTGTGTTCTGCTGTCTCTTTCTCTTATCAAAGGGTTCCTTTATGAAAGGTTCAGGCTTGCCTTTCCCTAGTGCTGGAACACGTCTATTGTCTCATTCTGTTCTGCCACCTGATTGAAGATAATTGTGCATCTTTGTTTCTATCCTGCATCTTATGTGTATAATCCTCATTCCCTTTTCAGAATTTCCCTTTGGCTTTCATCATGTCTTTTACTTCACTAAAATATTTGACTACTCTTTTTCTTCTTCTCCCCTTGTTTGTTTGCTTTCTTCCTTTCCTCAGGTCTCCAGGAAAGACTCCTTCAAACTTTTCTAGTGCATTAAGCTATCTTTTACAGAGGATGACACTTCCTTTTTTTCCTCCTAGGTTATTCAGTTAGTTTTGTACAACCTTTTAAAGTGATTCTTCATTCTGTTCTCTACTCTTCCATTACATTCAACTGCATTTTTAGTTCCTGGATAGTGTCTCTCCCACGATCTGTATCCTGGTGATAATTTGAATTCAAAAGGCCAGTGAAGGAGAAGAAATGTCTTAAGACATCTATAACTAGTCAGGCTTTTTCACCCCTTCAACTTTGGGTTATCACCATCACTGACCCCTCAGTAACCATTGATATCATATGATCTTCTAGATACCTGACTTAGAGATAAAAGGATTAGCTCATCTATTTACTTGTGAAAAAGTGCTCAGTGTTTTGCTCGCGTTTTCTGAGATCTGTTACTCAGGTCATTTTTTAAGACTTTCACCTCAGTCAAAAGTATTTTATGTTACCAAAGGGCAGTCATGGTCACAGAGGGGAACATCTTAATATCTGTTGTACCAGCAAACATCTGTAGCTGTGGGAAAATTTTTTATATGTAATATAATTTTCATTAACTTTTAATAATTTTATCCTAGGCCTTTATCCTAGAGGTTTGCAGAGGAGTGTGTGATTAAAAGCAAGTAAGCTAAGAATTTGCTGCCCTAGGACCATAGAATATTGTACTGTCAATTTTTATTTAATATCTCCTCCAGTAGAAATCCTTCAGAAAATGTGCCTTCAGTTTTTTAGCTCCTTAAGTGTGAAAGTCCATGCTTCCTTCAAAACCAGTTCCCCATTTTTAATGGCAAGCTGAAATGTCTATTGTCCTCAGTCTACATATTGCCCAGAACTTAGCTGTAATAAACTGTTTCATTATTCCTTTAAATTTTCAGGATATCACCTATGGTTATGCTGGAGAAAAGCTTTTTAGAAATAAATTTTGCACTGTACCGTCACAGCATCCCATATTTTTTCCTTAAATAGAAGTTTTATAAAGTATTTAGCCCTATAGAATTCCTCTTACCAAAGAAAGTCTAATGTACAGACAAATAAAGAAACTGAATTAGCAAAGCAGTGATGGGTAGGTACTTTCAAGTAACTGAATTATAATTAGAAAAGTTGGTTTCTGGAGATAGTCTCTGGGAGCATAGAGAGAAAGTTAATTTTAGTAACTCCATTAAGATAATTTCTAAAGTCCATGTTTTAAGAGAAATGTTAGAAAAATTGCATTATATATTACTGATTATTCCATTTCCAGTCTTGTCTAAACAACAAGCAAAGGACTACTTATTACTATTCACCATTCAGCTTTTGTTAAAATAGCTTTTGCTATTGAAAAAAAAATCAATTACATTTTCACCTCCCTTCCCTTGCAAAACTCTATTTTTATTGAACTTTCTGATTAGAGCATGAAATTGTTAAATAATAAAAACATGACTATTGATCTCACAGTATCGTTTTCCAATTTGAGCAACAGGGAATTCAACTGCAAAATTTCCAAGTTGTCCTGGGCAGCTTTTACATTTTAAAAAATAATTTATTTATTTTTTTAATGATACTGTGAATACTTGATAATGCAGATCCAAACAGTGGAACACAAACAAGTTACTGGAACTGCTTTTAGCAAAACCAGCATTCCCAACCTCTATAATTACTGTGAGAGAATAGTAGTAGATAATCTCTGCTACATCATTGCTCCAGAATTACACATTTATTGTGGGCTAGAGCTGTACTAGAACTAACACTGTATTTATTTTATTCTCTTAACAGGAGTCAATAGGATAACTCATTCGTAGAAAATAAGAGAAAAAAAATAATAAAAATAAGAACAAAATTGCATTCTGTGCACTTTTAATATTCATTAACCAGGAAACGAACATTCATAAATGAGTATATTTAATCTTTGGGCTGTTGTCTGATTAACCTATAAAAAAAACTATCAGGAACCTTAGAAACATCAGAAAATATCAGCCTTTCTTTGTTCTTTGTTACAGCAGCCCAATTTAAAGTTAAGACTAAAGATTTCATATTAAGGATGCAGCTTCATTAAGAGAGGTGTTTTTATTTTTGGTTAAGACTGGTGTGGCTTGAAGTCTATTCCTAAACTTTGTCTCTTGCTTTCTGGGTAACCCTGGAAAGTTAGTTCACCTCCTTCTCTAGAAAACATGTTTAATGTTACTTAGCACTTCTGCAAAGAAGTTTGAAATTTAAGACTGAAAAAGTGTGGTATAATAGAGCACATTATACAAAATTACCTTAATACAGTTCATAATTTACAAGTTAACTTCATGTTGAACTGACCTCCTTCAGCTGAGCAGATGACCACAATAGGGCTGAAGGGACCGTCTCCTTTGTTGTTGTAAACACCAACTTTCACCTCAAATGGAGTCAGAGGTGGCACGCTTTCATCTCTGTAGATGAACTTTGAGGCATCTGAAGACGTCACCATTTTTTCCTTCCAGCCACGTGTTCCATTTGGTCTGAAGGCTACAATATATCCAAATCCTTCTCCATTCTGAAACTCTTCTGACACTGGCTAAAAAACAGAGTTCAGGTAATGATCAGATGTGGTTTTACGAATATGGAAAGCAGTCACTCAGTGGCTGATGTTAATCTGGCTGCTTCTGGGAGGGTGATCCCTTACAGATGCACTAGAGGATTTTACTTATCACGCCTGGGAATACACAGAGACAATTACTTCTGAAGAAGAACCTTGTAAGAAAGTTTCTTCACCTAATCACCATAGTTAGGTCACTATCCTAGGTTTGAATAAACTCTTTGACTCAGAAAGATCTTTTTTTCTTCTATATCTCCCACTTTGCAGTTAATGCTTTCACCAATGGTCTATTAGTGGAATAAAACCCTTCAATAACCTTGTTAAAAATATAGAGCAACATATTGTTAAGGGCTCCTGAAATATGATGTGAGTGATGCTTACTATAGTGACACTCTCTTGGGTCTTGGGTTTTAGGTGCCAACCTGCCTAATTTCTGTATCCAAATGGGGTGTCAAGTCTTAGGGATTTAAGTCTAGTGTTCAGTTTGAGACTTAGGATATAATGTAATAAATCTAATTGTTCTAACTCTCAAACTGAATCTTGGTGTAAAAAAAAAAAATTCTCATTTGTTTTCCTTTTCTCAGAGGATCTGTGAAATAAACCACTCAAATTGGGGCACATCTGCCATAAGCAGACAGACAGCAAAAGGATTTATCTGTTGAGAGACTGAGCACTGCTACCTTATGTGTCCAGCTCAAGGGTTTGAATTTTTCATGCTAATTTAATGCTTAAATTTCTTATGAAGTCAATGGACTAGTTTAGGAATTAGGTTATGTTTAACAGTTGTCAGCATGTTAGGCCTATGGGAAATGCCAAAAAAAGGTTGTCTAAACTTCCTCTCTTGAAGTTCCTATCCTAGATCTGCAGCTAATGAGTATGTGAATCAGAGCAGGAACACAGAGAACAACAAATCCTCTCCCCTTCACCTTGCAAGTGAATGTTTCATCACCAAGCACCTCACTTGCAGACACCATTTTCTACTCAGCCTTCTGAAGCTGTGCACTGAACATCCAAGAAAAAGAAAGATATGACCTCAAAGACAGAGGAGGCAAAAACATGACAGACTTCGTAATCTAGTGATTTGAGTTGGAAAGGAGGAGCTTTGCATTTCTTTGCAATACTTATGGAGTTGGCAATAAATAGTCACTATAATAAAGCCAGAAATACAAGAGAAGCAGCAGAACCTTAGATTTCACTGCAAATGCTAAATACAGTCTGTGAATAAAAGTTGTGTTAATAACATTTTGTTTGAACCTGCTCAGAATAATTCAGGAGCCTAGGAAGTTTAGTGTTTTCTTGAATTTCCAGAAACCTGTATACCATCTTAGTATCTCCTCAGACTTCAAATCACTTCGTTGAATTCCTGTTGCCTGTGTAAGTCCAATAAGACTTTTTTTTGATCCTGCAAAAGCACAGACTGACTGTGCTGGAGCTATGCTAACATACACTGTGGTTTTGCCTAATGGAAATGGAGTGACTACACCAGACAGCACAGTAATCTGTAGTGAGTTGTTGAAGTGTTATCCAATGTGCTAGCATTAGTTCTTCAGCAGAAATTTCAACACTTACTTTCAATTGCATGTTTTAGTGTGTTCTATTCTATCTTTTCACCATTTCTTGAAAAGGCAGTGACTATAGTTAAAAATGACAGCAATTTTTCAAACGATTAAAAAAATATAAATATGCCCACTTCACAATTTTTATTAGACACAGATGAAATGCTGTGATGTTCGTGTAATCTTCATTAATGACTTAATGCAGTTTAAAAGGTATGTGAAGCAATAGTGTGCTGAAAGCATTAACAGCAGGAAGAACAACATTAGGTATTGATGGAAACAAGGAGTTAATCAGAAACAAGGGGGAAGGTTAGACACCTGCCTTATTGACAGTTTGTGCTCCTTAGCTATAAGTGAAGAAACATTAGCTGGCTTTTGTAGAAAAACCTCAATGTATATTGAAAGTGATGTTATAGAAATTGCTAATTCATAACTGTTTGTTGTATCTGTATTGCAGGATGGGACACCTAAGGGTCTCTGGTTTCTTTCTGAAGGAAAGTGACCCCTGAGAGAGAGGGAGATATAACAGTCCAGTAGTCCACCACTCCAATCACCTGGGGAATGCTATAAAGACACTTAACTTGAATACTACATACTAATATATCATATTAAGGACTGGGATTAAGCAGTTCATGTCAGGTACTGTTCTAATCACCTGATGTTTTTGTTTCAGATTCAGTATATTCTCTCTCAATAGGAGAGATGCTGTTCATAGTTATAAACTATAAAGTAAACTGAAATCAACTCTTTCTCAGTTGTCTCAAGCAGCTCGTGTTGGAGAAGGAAGATGAGCCAACAGAAGAAAACCTCTTCAGATGTCCTAATGTTTGCCATTTTAGGTAGTTAAAATCCTGCATGTCTCTTACCATCTGAATGTCTCCTCAAGTTGGCTAGGCTAAAACATTTTCATTAAAACCCCACATCTTCATTTGATGCAATTTTCATTTGGTATATATATATATATATATATGTATTTTCTGAATCTGAAACTTTGCATGATGAATGCAGAAATTCTGGAAACTCCTCAGAAAAAAATTTCTCTGTTCTACTGTGTTATTTATGATTAGCAGAGAAAGTAATTCCAACTCCTCCAGCTGCCCACTGACATGGTCATACATGGAGTATGATATCATCTGCCATACACAGATCAGCACAACTCAAAAAAAAGATATTTGTGATGCACATAAAGGTCTAATTTTTAAAAGTATTTAAAGAATGTTTATGAAACACTTAAAAAAAATTTCTTCATTTAAATTTTAAAAAAGTTATAAGGTTTTCATTCTCTTTCCTTAGTGATTATTTCTTCTGCTGTAGCATTTCCATAAGATTCAGAAAAGTCGAATCAACCCAAGCAGCAGATCAAGAAGAAAAGACTTATGAATTAGCAAAATTTGGAGCTGCTGCCGTAATGCCCCCTACTAAAACCATGTGAAAATACATATTACTTTGAAACATTAGAACATATTTAAAGAACAGTATTTGTGTTCATGTCTTGCCAAGATTTGCTGTAAGGAAACCCCAGTATATTAATCTTCATTTTGCCCTCAAAGAAGTAAACATGAAACAAAACCTTTAATCAGAAAAGTCCCTTACCTCCCATGCTATTACTAATTCATGTCGCCTTCCACTTCTGCCACTTACATTAGCTGGAGGTGTCTTTGGAACTGTGAGCAAAAGTAAAAAAGAAACAAAACCAAAACAGAATGTCCAAGTTATTGTGGTTTTCCCCATAGTAATAAGTTGCTGCAGAAGACATGAGGCTGTTAAATTAGAACAGAAATAACAAACATAGCACTCTGTGGTAAAGAAAATTTGCTCAAGTTTCATTTCAGAGAATTCCGCAGTCAAGCTGGTAAACTCAAACAAAGCTCAAGCTGAGAATAAAAATAAGGACTATTTCTTCTGCAGATAAGTAGAAATTTCACTGTACAGATCATCTAAGAGATAAAATGGGAATTATCTTGTTAACATGCATTTTTTGAATAGACAAATCAAATGTCAGGGAACCCAACATATTTCAGACTTCAGGTAAAATCTTATGATATAAATAATATTCCTCTACTATTTTGCAGGCCATTAGTGATTTAGAATGTTTTAGTTCTTATAAATATATTCTTTCATGTTTTACCAGGGATCCAATTTTCAGAAATTTTAAAGTAACCATCCTTAAACATCACTTATCATTTTTTGCAAAATGCTGGAAACACTACTACTCACAGTACTTCAAATATGTTCTAAGATATAAACTTTGTCTTTTCTTCCTTACAGCGGTACAGAGGACATTGGTGGAAATGTACTGTGAGACATTAACAGTTATGGCCTTATTGCATGCTGTTCAGCTTATTTATTGACGAGCACTGTGCCTTTGAACTATACGAAGAATAATACATTTAAATAAATGTTCACAGTCCTTTCTATTTCCCATGTTGATCATTAACAGCTTAAGTTCAATAAAGTGCAGTTTTTACTGGATCCTGCAAGTTTGCATGAAATTTCAGAATTCATTTTTGCAGTGTCTTTTTGAACCCTGAACTCCCCTTTAAAGAACATAAGCCAAATTCTGGTGTGGTTTTTTTTTTTTTTTTTTTTTTTTTTTTTTTCATAAATGATGCAAACCCACAAAGCTTATGAATTTCTTCTCATTTACACTGTTGGAAAAGAGGTAAGAGTCCTTTTTATCTCTGGATCTTACCAGACTAATAGGGGAGATTTGTAATGTGTGAACTATCTCTCCAAAAAAGCTGGGTTCATTTGGCCAATATGGTGGCTTCAACTTTTTCTTCCCTCTCTTCCTCCCTTCCTCCCTCCCTCCATCCCTCTCTCCTTTCTGTCCTTCCATTCTTCCTTCCCCCTCTTCCTCTAACACATGTGCAAAATGCTATCTTTCATAGTTACTTTCTGCTGAAAGGTCTTGACTTCTGTATATTCAGATGATCAAATTGCTTTGCAACTTAACTTCAGCTAGTAGAAAAGCAGGTACCCAGGCTGAACTTGTAGCCCAGCCTCCTTCTCCAATGAATGCACAGCTTTGGGGTAGTTCATCCCATCCAAAGATAACTGAACAATGGGGAGCACTGTTTAGATTCTAATGAATAGAGACATGAAGTAGTTTAAACTAAAATCTGCTCTTTACATGGCAACAAGTTAATAAAATTTTCCTTTTAGAAACAGAATTGCTCTCTGGATTAAAAAAAAAAAAAAAAAAGAATAAAAGCAATTAGTGTACAACACTGGGAGGAATGCTCTACAGTGAAAAGATGCAGATGAAGAAATATCTGCCAGTTAATTAACATGCAAAAATTATGATGCCATGTCTAATGGAGCTTGTTTAAACCTTCTTTAGCATCCATTTTTCTATCACTTTTCCAGAATGTTTTTTTTTGGTTAAGTTATAAATGAAGTTTTTATAAGTGCCACGTTACTAACAAGAGTGTGTTGGACTTCTTTCAAATATCTAATGCAATGGGCATATTTAACCTGCAGTGTCCTCTTTCTAGAATTTTCTTGTTAAAAGCTTTGCAGACTGAAGCCCTATTTAAATGAATAAATATTAGAAGAATAAAAGAGTCAAAACAAAGAATTTCTTTTGTACCAAACTAGAATGTACATTCACACAGTGAAACTCTCTCAAACGAATAAACATTAAAAGAATAAATGTGTCAAACGAATCAATTTCCTTTGCACTTCACCAAAGTAGATAGATTATACACAGTTAGTGGGGGACATTTTGAAATGAGTGGCTGTTAAGAGAAGAAAACTATTAAAAGAAACATTTTTTTTTTTTTTCCAGGCATTGAGGTTATATATTATCAATCATTCCAGCAGCATCACCTTTGTGTCGATGTTATATCTGAAATGACTCACTCATAGCCTAAGTTTATTGCCATTCAATTAGTGACTTCCCAAGCTTTAAGCTGTTAATTCTTGACAGTGATACTCACAGAGATGCACCAAATATGCAAGTATAATGACTATGCTTGGCTCTTGGACACAGGATCGATGTGCATGGAGGACAGGACATTAGGACCTTTTTTCCTTAGTGCTTATCAAAGCTGAGAAATTCAGTATTGTTTCTTCTGAATAAATACATTCTGACTAGTGGCTAAGAGCTCTTTGCTGTATTAATGTACCTCATTTAGCAAGATGAGAGAATGTCACCAGCTGGAAAATGAATTGCTGCTTTGCCTAAAACTGGTCCTTAGGATCATAAAATGTGACTATGCTTGGCTTGATTGTATATCTGTAATTGTGATCAAAGTTCTTATTAGCCCCGTTGCCAGGTATCTGTTCTCGCTTTTCTCCTGTTTTATTCTTACATGGCAACCTGTGGTTACCTCTTCTTTTTTTTTTTTTTTTTTTTTTTTTCTTTTTTTCACAGCTACTGGTAAGGTTGGGAGTTAAAAGCCAGGTCTCTCTGTCATTCCATAATGTGAACAACATATAGTACTAAAATTGTGTTCTTAAAGGCATGGTGACTAGACGTAGTTCACAGTAAGTAATGGATGACACAGATTTATGTTGAAAATTCCATTTAAGGCAAACAAACAAATGTCTTTAAATGACTTTGCCAGGAGTCTGGTTTGAACAGAAACAGCAGGATTTGTTTCTTAATGTTTCCATTTGCATGGAAGCATGGTGATACACCAAAGATGAAAGTGAAAATAAACACTATTAAAATTAATTTCCCCTAAATCAAGAACGTGCTCTAAGAGTAAGCAGAAAGAATATAACCCTCAGCCGTCCTATGAAACATTTGATAACATGCTTAAAATATAAATGAAGAAAAGGTGATATGGAAAGGTAAAGTTATATATGAAGCCCTGCCAATTTTTTAATAGGTTGTATCTTATGCAAATATAGCTAAACAAGCTAAATATGCATGAAAAGCAGCGGGCTTTGTTTAGGAAAAAAATGCATACACAGAACTGATGCTGTTGAGGGCTTTGTGTATGGGAGCAGTAAAGTGCTGAAGAGTGCTGACAATGCCACCTATCTATTTTGAATCTGTATTTATATGTAGAGTTTGGTGAAGCTTTTTAAAGAGGTAGGTAATATCATAACTATGAAATCAGGAATATTTTGGAGTATATATTAGCTTTCCTTCCAGAGCTCCACAGTGTCCAGCCTTTTGAAAGCTGCTCTGTGCTTTAAGGTACTTAAATCAGATTTCTGATTCAGTTTTAAAAATTCCTCACTCTTCACACTGCATGGCTGATGGATTTCCTTTCCTTTCCTTTCCTTTCCTTTCCTTTCCTTTCCTTTCCTTTCCTTTCCTTTCCTTTCCTTTCCTTTCCTTTCCTTTCCTTTCCTTTCCTTTCCTTTCCTTTCCTTTCCTTTCCTTTCCTTTCCTTTCCTTTCCTTTCCTTTCCTTTCCTTTCCTTTCCTTTCCTTTCCTTTCCTTTCCTTTCCTTTCCTTTCCTTTCCTTTCCTTTCCTTTCCTTTCCTTTCCTTTCCTTTCCTTTCCTTTCCTTTCCTTTCCTTTCCTTTCCTTTCCTTTCCTTTCCTTTCCTTTCCTTTCCTTTCCTTTCCTTTCCTTTCCTTTCCTTTCCTTTCCTTTCCTTTCCTTTCCTTTCCTTTCCTTTCCTTTCCTTTCCTTTCCTTTCCTTTCCTTTCCTTTCCTTTCCTTTCCTTTCCTTTCCTTTCCTTTCCTTTCCTTTCCTTTCCTTTCCTTTCCTTTCCTTTCCTTTCCTTTCCTTTCCTTTCCTTTCCTTTCCTTTCCTTTCCTTTCCTTTCCTTTCCTTTCCTTTCCTTTCCTTTCCTTTCCTTTCCTTTCCTTTCCTTTCCTTTCCTTTCCTTTCCTTTCCTTTCCTTTCCTTTCCTTTCCTTTCCTTTCCTTTCCTTTCCTTTCCTTTCCTTTCCCAGATTTTGGGTACTCACTTTTGGGCAAAACACTGAAAATTATTAAATATTTCATTTTGACATTATAACAAATGAAACATAGCCATTTGTGTTTTAAGAAGGAGTATAATTTGAATTTTATCTAATTTTTATTTACAAATAAGAAAATTAAAACAGGAAACACAAAGGAAAATATTTTGGTTTGAATTGACAGAGATTTAAAATTTTTATCAAAATTTATTACTTTACCTCTAACTTACTAAAGAAAATAAAAGCAATTTACATTTTGTTTAAAATCACTTTTATTCTCACCATTTTTACTTTGGAGTGAGTAAACTGAAAAAGTCTTTTAAACTACTCTATCTCTAGTTTCCTTTCCTTCTAAAAGGAAAATAAAATATCACAGAGAACCTGGAAAAATTGAAAGCACTTGAAAATTCATCCTCTTTTTAACATTCCAACATTGTAAGGAAATTTAAAAAATGGTACTGAATGTTTAATTAATCATTTTAAAGTGTTTCTGTTTTGTCTTTTTTTTTCCCAAGGAAATGTCGAGTGGCTTTTTTCAATTCTGTGTGTTTTGTTCGTTACAAAGAGAAATGACAGATTCTTAATTTTGTAGTATGTCTTAATTTTTGTGCAGCACAAAAGTAGTTAGCAGCCAAGATTATACTGGATGATAGCATTGCTGTAGAAAATATTGCTAGATTTATCCTGTCCTTCAGTTTTGCAATCTGAACAGGTAGGATAGAGAGAAGACAAAGAGAAGCAAAAACCTTCCTAACATCCTGGTTTTAGAGTAAGAAATGCTAACATGAGCTGCCCA